GGGATCGGATGAGACATGTACCTTCTCTCCCTTAGACATGAGGCAAGTTGGAGTGTAGTAGTCATTGTCGATGAGGTTGGAGAAGAGCCTTGGTGATGAAGATAAATTGGAGAAGAGTTTTGGTGGTGAAGTCGAGTCGGGGAAGATCATGGTCGGTGATGAAGAGTGGTGGATGGCGATGTTTGCAACTCCCTTCTTCGTCTTCTCATCATCACTTGAGTCACTATCATTTGACTCCCACTCTTCACCAAGATGAGCTTCACCTCTCTTCTTACCTTTGTTCTTCTTATCTTTATCCTTGTCTTGCTTGTGCTTCTTCTTCTCATTAGGACAATCGGCTATAAAGTGTCCGGTTTGGCCACAACTATAGCAAAACCTCTTCTTGTTCCTTCTCTTCCCATCACCGTAAGTCTTTCGATTGCTCTTCTTCTTTATAAACTTTCTAAAGTTTCTAATGATGAGTGCAACTTCTTCATCGGACTCTTCTTCTTCACTTGAGGAATCATCCTTCACTTTCTTCTTCTTCTCTTGACTAGAGGGTTTGCCTTCATGAGCTTGAGTTGCCTTTAGGGCTGCATTCTTGTTGTATCCCATTACATTAGGATTTTGATTGTGAGCATTGATTGCATCTTCATCTAGACACTCATGATGCTTGAGCTTTGAAAGAACTTCTTGAGGTGTCATCTCATTATAACCGGACCTTTCCATGATCACAGGCGCTAGCATATTGTTCTTGGCTCTATAGGTTCTCAACATCTTTCTAGCAACCTTGTTGTCATCCCATTCTGTGCTTCCAAGAGCTCTTATGCGGTTGACCAATGCCACAAGCCTATCAAACATGGATTGTGTAGTTTCATTTTGCAAGAACACAAATCTTTCCAACTTAGCATGAAGCAACTCAATGTTGCCTTTTCTCACACTCTTATCTCCTTCAAATGACACTTTTCAAAGTATCCCAAATTTGCTTTGCACTTTTCATTCCATTTACCTTTCTAAACTCATCCGGACTTAAGCTTGACATAAGCAAAACTACAACTTGTACATTTTGATGGAGATTGTGCACTTCTTTTGGAGTTATCTCTCTATCTTCACCGGTAGGAATCATCACATCAACATCCACAACTTCCCAAAGTCTTACGGTAATAAGATGCATCTTCATCTTATAGGACCAATTGGTGTATCTCGTTCCATCAAAGTGAGGTGGCTTGCCAATGTTGACGGAAGGGGTATTTAGAGGCGATCCTTTGATGAGTTGTCCATAGTCGAAGTTCATGATCGAATATATTCCCTTTCCATGAGCATGCTCACCGGCTCCAATATCACTAGTGGCATCTTTATTTGCTTTATTCTTGCCACTTGTTGCATCATTCTTGCCACTTATTACATCATCAACCTTCTTGCTCAATTCTTTCTTCATCTTGCTCATCTCATCTTGCATCTTTTTCATTTCATCTTGAAAGAACTTGACTTGAATAGCCATCAACTCTTCAGCTATCTTCTTGGCCATCTCGATGGCATTAGCTTGCATCTTATAGGTCTCCGACATTGTTTCTTCTCACGCGGTGAAGTGCTAAAAGAAGACCTTGCTCGATACTAATTGAAAGGATCTAAACAATGCCTAGAGGGGGGGTGAATAGGTGTATCTAAAAATTTCTACGTAAACTCAAAGTCAAATATCAGCGACAGTTGGAAGTTCCGAGTGTTTGGGCCAGAACTTCCAGCAGCCGGAAGTTCCGACGCAAATAGCCGGGAGTTCTAGCACCTACGTGAAATTCACTACAAGTGTTAAAATGAACTTTGAGTGAAAGATATCTTACAACCCCACTTCCTAGTAGTAAGGTGAAGTGTTGGGGTTGCTTCTTTGACGCCGAAAGGTCACCACTCCGTAGATTGAGTCCAAACCCTAGGAGGAGAGTTGGACAGGAAGATAAACCAACAAGAACAAATATGATAGAACAAATCACAACAACAACAAGCACGCGGGACAAAAGGATTTATCCTGAGGTTCGGCAACCCCACAAAGAAGCTCCTACATCCTAGTTGTTGAGGTGACCACCAAGGTCGGAGTCTCTTCCACCACCTTGCCTCTCTCAAAGCAACCACAAAGGTTACTTGAGCATTTCACTAAGAAATCAAGGGTAATACAACACTTCTCAAGGCTTTTCCACAAGATGGAAGCTCTTGGGCGACACCTAGCTGGCTAGGGTTCCAAGAACCCAAGAGTAATAGACACAAATTGAATCGGCTTGACGAAGAAATCAAGTGCTCAAGCTTGCCAAAGTGATTCTCTCACTTAATCCACTCTCCTTTCACTCAAAACCTAGGGGAATCAAAGATTAGGGAGAGAAGAGGGGTGCCTTGAATGCTTGGGAGCTATTTTGGATGAAGGTTGGTGAGCAATGAATAATTGGTTCCTGGTTAGAAGAGAGGAGAGAGCTATTTATACTCATAGTAAATCCAACCGTTCAGATCTGGGTCCGAAGTTCCGACACAGATTGCCGGAACTTCTGGCTGTCGGGACTTTTGACTCGCGTTGGAACTCCTGACCCAGAGCCGAGCCAGGGGGGCTAAGTCCCAAAGCGCTAGGAGTTCCGGTGGGAGCTGGAACTCCGGCACCCGGAACTCCCGACTCCCATCGGAACTTCCGACGGGCGAGCGAGCACAGGCAGGCGGACAGCTAACTCCTCAAGTGCCGAAACTTTCGATGGTTGGAACTCCCGGCTCACGCTGGGACTTCCGACTACCAAAAGTCCAAGAACTATATCTACGTGTTTGTGAGGTGATTTTGTCTCTCTTTTGATTTCATTTTTATACTTGAGCACTGTATCTTCCTCAAACCACCTAAACTTGCATCCCTCTTTATAGTATGGCATACCTAAACCCAAAACAAAATTAAAAATGCTTGAAGCGCGCTTTGAGTTCGTTCGCCTTTTGCACTTGAAGAATTGAGGGATACATTTTTATCTTAAATCAACTATTTGAAACTTTCAAGGGACTAAAGCTGCAATATATCTCATTAAGATCTCATTAGTCCCTAATTTGGATGTCATCAATACACCAAAACTCACATAGGGGGAAAATGCACTTTCACTTATACACATCGATTGAAAACCAGGGACGATATCGATGAAAGACCTGATAGTGGATTGTTTTAGAACCGAGGAATGTTGCACAAAATGATATATTAGTGTATATAATTGGTAACGGAGGTGAAGTCCATATTCCAATTAATAATATCCTACCGGTCTTGTAAATGCAAATAACCCATTTATCCTAATACGAGTACTTACTAGCACAAATATAAAAATGAATTTAGAAGACAAGGGTTTTTATTTTTATTGATGGTCATTGGACTGAACATCTCTTTTAATAAATTTAGAAGATGTTGCTCGTTTCTAAAAATTGATGTTTAAAGACGGACTTTTTAAGTGCGCCGTCTCTATTTACAGAGCCGGCCAACTTAAGAAGCTCACCTCTGAAATCAATTTTCAAAGAAGGGTCCCTTAACCAGTCAACTCTGGAAATAAGGCCCAGGGCCCATAAATATGTACAACTAATTAATCACATCCTTCTTAACCCTAGCTGTCATTCTCCTCTGATGATTACACCTTTGTGTTCTTTTTTGCATTCTTAAGATCTAGTGGAGTCTATCTAATATATTAGTCGTAAACTCTTAGATTAGTGTCTATGAAATTAAGGACCAGATGTTTTGATTATTGTAAGGATTTATATGATTTACTTTTAATCCCACATATTAGTCGTGACATCTGGCATGTGCCAATCAATCAAGACCGTGGAAAACTAACAAAAGAGCACGCAATCAATCAAGACCGTGGAAAACTAAGGTGCGGGTCATCGAAACTAAGAGCAGAGCAAATGCAATTTGCGTGACTAAATTGTGACATCGTACACACTCTAGTACTGCAATTTTGACTATTTGGAACACAACATTTTCCTTCCTGCATGTTTTTCGTAGACTCACAAAATAAGTAAAACAATGTGAATGTGAACGTACAAACAAATTAACAATGCCCTCGTTATGCACACACCACACTTAAAAATAGTGTATATTGTCAAATAATAGTTTCAGGACTGACACAAAATGAATGGTTGACATGTATTCCGTAGACATAAAATATGTCGTTTTGACTTTTCTAGCTAGTTACATAATTTTGCTTCGTACGTTTCATAGACATGAATGAAACAAATATTTATCGTTGCCCTTGCACGTTTTCCATAGACACGGAAGAAATCAGCAACGTGAAACAGTATCTTCTACGTCTAAAAAGGAACGAAACTAAGACCATAGAATGGTGCGATAATTTTTGGGTCGTCGCTGTGCCTCTCCCTTGCGATCCCGCAGTCGCATCGTAGGTCTGCCTCGCCCCTGCGATCCCCGCCTCCTGCTCGCGCGCAAGGAGGTAAAAACGGAAAGCCAATCACCTCACCCTATCCCGCCCGATCCTCCAGCCAGCGCGCGATCATCTCCCCCAATCCGTGGCTCCAGCAACCGCCCTCCGCTTCATCTCCGCGCTCACCCACGCCTGACACCTCCTCTCCCTCCCTGCCCTCGCCCCGCCGCGTGGGATACGTGGAGGTCGCCGCCGGAGACCACTCCGCGCCTGCACCGGCACCTCGCCAAGTCGGACTGCCCCCGCCCTCGATCGTCGAACCGCTGCCGCAGGAGCTGCAGCAAACGTCGACGAGCGTCGCCGCCCTTCTCACCGCCGCGACCGTCGCCACCCGGGGCAACAGGACGAACCCCCTACGCCCCGCTCTCTCGCTCCTTCTCCCTCGGCTGGATCAACGTTGGGGCGGTTAGATCGACACCGTGGGCGCCCTCCCGTTGACGCGCCGCCCCCTTCATCTCCCCTGGCTTGATCAGCGTTGGGGTGGACGGATCGGCGCCGCCCCCAGCCACATCGACACAGTCGTCCTCCAGTTGACGCGCCGCCCCCTTCGTCTCCCCAAGCTGGATCAGCGTTGTGGCGATCGGATCGATGCCATCGCCAGTCGGATCGACGCCTTGGACGCCCTACCGTGGACGTGCCGCCACATTCGCGTACGTGTTCATCTCCTGGCTCCCTCTCCCTTCTTATGCATTTCGAATTTCAGGATTGAGCATTTGTCTGCTTAATTTGATTTCAGGAACTAGCCGGATTGTGGAGTGCTGTGGTTTTCTCAGTTTGAGTTTGCTGTCTGATGGGTTTGTCGGTGCCAGTGTTGCAGAGATTGTGGCGGCGACGTCCATTGCGAGGCCACGGGCGGATGTCACCTATTGCATCCATGCGCTTGCCCGGCGACTCGCCAAAACCAGGAACTGGATTGTAAGCACTGCTGCACGCCGGTTCATATTATTTTGATTCATTATGTGTATTCGATGCTCTGATGGTTGCTTTAGCTGCTAAATTGGTGCCGATCTTGTAATGGTATTTGGTGATCAATGAGTCTCGAATGCAATTTCGTTTGTTAAAAAATGTGATCACACTGTGGAATTGAATGCAGACAAATGCTCAATCGTCAAATGCCCAAGTTTCATGCGCAATTAGTGAGGATGCAGTGCTATTGATTTGGGAACCTGAACCTTGGTCATTGCACACTTGAGAGCTCGAGCTTATATCTATAGTTATATAAATAGTATATCATGTTGAGTCTGGAATGGCAAAACAAGTTATACCTTTATAATCTGTGCTTTTGGTGGCTTGAGTGTATATGTACCAGTTAATTTGGACATGGGAACAAAAAACAGAAAGAGACGCAACTGGGGATTTTGTTATTTACTGCTGCAATCAAGATATTATACATCCAAGTTGAAATTTCTTTGCATTAGCATAATAAGCTTGTTTACAAAAGCACTGTGAAAATTCTACATTTAACACAATTCTTCACTTTTTATGGTCGCTTTTATTTGAACTGAGAATTGATGATTTAAATTGTGGGGTTCCTTCTTTTCTGTTGATTGTCTGAAGCCCGTTTGACACCCTTTAGTGTTATGTCCTTGGATTAAACTCTTTTTTCTAATGGTTAATTTTTTTTGTCTTGCCTGAATTGTATGATGGAGTTCAGTTGAGGTGGCACAACCCAACGCTTGAATATGTCTAATTTGAACAATTAATGAGTTCTTGTGTTATGTAGGTTGCTCTGAAAACACTTGTAGTGATCCATAGGCTTCTTCGGGAAGGTGATCCTGCATTCCGCGAAGAGTTTCTAACATTTATTTACTCAGAGAGTGCGGATTTTGCAGTTGTCAAACTTCAAAGATGATTCCAGACCAGTTGGTCTGTATTTCTTCAATTTAATTTAACCTGATGTTTTATTTGGATCCTTAATATTCTTTCATATTTCCTTCTTATCTATTGCCTTTATATTTCGGAATTATATCCAGCTTGAGATTATTCTTCATGGGTTCGCACATACGGTTTATTTTTGGAGGAAAAACATGAATGCTTCAGGGTCTTGAAGTGTGACATTGAAGCTAAGCGTTTATCAAAGCAAGGTCAAGGACCTGAAAAGGTCTGGACTCTGACATGCTCATCCACTATTTTTATTTCATTTTATTACCACTTTACCAAAGCTGTGCGGTGTTATCCATTATTTGTAGCTATATTACTTGCAGATGATACTTCAGCATGTAATTAAACTTTTTTGTTTTCAGGGAGACCATAGTAGAACTAGGGAATTGAATTCTCAGGACTTGCTGGAGTAATTGCCAGTACTGTAGCAATTATTATATCGACTTATTGGCTGTAGGGTGATTCTCTCTTATCCTTGCAACAAATTTAGGTTTTTTCCTGTATTTTTCTTTTTGAACTAAGCCAGCATGGCACTGCTTTTCCTTTTGTATTCAGGCAGAAGGAGCTGCAAATAACAATTATCTGGTGCAATATGCTCTAGCTCAGGTAAGCTCTGTTTTTTGTCATTTTTTTGCTTCAACTTCTACAAGGTGATCTTTATATTTAGTTTAACGAGCCAACCGGTCATCTGTGAATCTGTCTGGCTATGTCTTGCACTTTATGACCTATTCAATGTATAATAGAGCAGTTCAATTCCTTCTATGTAACAATTTATTCTTAGATCTGGGGCATCTTACGCAATTTGAGTGAATCCTGTTAGATTTAATATGGGCTTGGCCCATATTTTATTTAAATAAATCAAATAAATCCTAGGCTCATATTATATGCTACAGTGCATGAATTGCTTTTACCACTTAAGCCAATTATGGGCAGGAGTTTCTATTCCTAAGTGTGAGTGGGAGTGACGAGTTTTTATTCCTAAATGAGAGAGTTACAGGAGTTTCTGTTCCTAATGGCAAGAGTTACGGGAGTTTCTACTCCTAATGGCGAGAGTTACGGGAGTTTCCGCTCATGATGACGGAAGTTTCTTTTGTGAGCGTCTCTTCCAACTCTTGTGCTCCTGCTTGGCTTTCTGGCTACGTGATAAAAGCAAGACACGCTTCAACATTCAGATGAGTTCTAGTCTCTCTCGGACACGCACCTCACCAATCTTTGTTGAGTTGCCTTAGAGCTTCCCCGTCCCAATTCTCTGCGCACATGGAGAGTTGGGAGAGCAGGCCTCCGGAACCACCGTCCATCAAGCGACACCTGCTCGGGTGTGCGGGTGATCAAGTTTTTGGGGAGCGTCTCCGCGACTGCTAGCTTCTTCAAATCGTCTTTGTCTTCTTCCTGGTGGCTGCCGACATCGTCTTCTTCTTCTTCTTCTTCTTCTTCGTCTTCGAGATCGTTGTCTTCTTTTTGGTGGACGTTCGAGAGACGGCACTACGAACACCTTCCTGCATCAACTGTGGTCCGTGACCTCAAGCAACGTACTATGGTGACTAGTGCGAATGGAGCCACCGGTGCCTTGAGCATGGGTCCCTCCGTAGGGTATAATCCAATCCTTAATTTTATTAAATTCAATATCATCTTTTTCGCTATGATAAGTATGTTATTCGTGGTCACTAACACCAATTATAAACCGTCAACATAACCTGCATTTATATTTAATTCCATCACCAAACATAGGTATAGGGGTTTAAACTAATGAATTCCACGAGCTTTGGTGATTTCATGACTATAGGAGGATTTATGCAGAAAGCAGCTCCCGGACCACTGTCATATACTCCAAACAAGCAAACCGACGACAACAAGTGATTCAACCCGTGAAAACTACGAAAGACAACTCTAGAAGGTTCCAGAAGACACCACGCCGAAGCTTGGGCCAAACGACCACGAAAGTGGGCCGGCCGGCCTAGCCCATAGGCCGGCCTGCCTGCCACGGAGCCCGCTCGCCCTCCGCTGCCTCGTGCTCGTTCCTAAGATCTACACAGTTGATTTTAAGGCGGTTTTAGGTCGGTTTATCCAACGGTGATCGAGGGAGTTGACGCGGATCGATGACGTGGCGAGTCCTTGCCCCCTACTCCACCTCGATTCCTTGTCCCCTACTCCACCTCGATTCTTTGCCCCCTACTCCACCTCAGCCTATATATACCAGCCCCTACCCCTCTCCCTGGAGCCATCTTGAAACCCTAATTCATATTCTCTTCGTCAGGATCAGAGCCAGCTATCAAGAGAAGATTAGTCCTCCATAGGATCTAGTCTTGTAAATAATAGTGAGATAGAGTGTGAGGGAAGAGTTTGGAGGAAGTGTTGGCCTGTCGGTGCTCTCTCTACGGCTTGTACCCTGGCGGAATCAAGTTTTACTTGAGCTTGCTTCTGAGGATTCTCTGGTAATCGACTTCTAATTCAAGTAAGCATCGTGTGTATATTGTTCATCAGGTTTATAACTCTTTGAGTGCTTTAATCTATAGGACGCTCTAGATTAAAGTAGTACTTGTAGGTGTAAGCGTGGTGCTTAGACCGGGTTATTTGTGGATGTACCCTATATTCCGGATCGGTGGTAGCTCGCGAGGGTGACTCTTATAACCTTGTTGTGCAGTCCACCTCTCGTTTGTAGGTCTAGCAGGATTTAGTTACTATAGGAAACATACTCTGCTTGTGTTTCCCTTTGTAATATCCCTAGTTGAACAATAAAAGACATAACTTACCGAATTTAGAACTAGAAGACATTTGTGATCTCCTTTATACTACTATTATCTTAAGTCTTGTTGCTACTCCGGGTTAAGTTAGACGTAGTTACTTTCACATGTTTCCCTGTGGATACGATACTTGGAATACATCCGGGTGAAAGCTGCGAGTAGTATTTTTACACACGTGCACATACATGTTGTCATAAATTTGCTATGGTATTTCTTGATTAAATTTAACTTGAAAATGCCTAAATTCCTAACAAATCCTGCTTCTATACAGGTTCTTAAAGAAAGCTTCAAAATTTATTGTGCAATAAATGATGGAATTATCAACCTTGTTGACAATGTATATTAATCTTCAAAGAAGTAGGGATTTGTCTATGTTGCACTGAGCTATATCTACTTATGCTTCCTGTTTCCTGTTGGCTGTCAAACAACTGTGCAGTTCTTTGAGATGCCAAAGCATGAAGCACTAAAAGCCCTTCACATTTACAGGAGGGCTGGCCAGCAGGTAACTGTCCTACACGGTAGTAATGTGCAATGTATCTTAACTTGAAGACCAGGATGTAACAATTATGTGCTTAGACGCTTAGCTGCTATTTTTTACCCATCAACATCTTTGATGCTTCAGGCTGGAAACCTGTCTGGCTTCTATGAAAGTTGTCGGGGTTTAGACCTCGCAAGAAATTTCCAGTTTCCCACTTTGAGGGAGGTGAGGCCATTTGTTTCAGCGTTCGCCATGTAAATTTTTACTATGTAAGAGTATGACCAGATACTCAGATTTGATTTATCTTATTTTCAGCCACCCTCCATGTATGATGCCAGTTATAGAACCACTGGTTAGTTCCTGGTTTCTAATAAACCATTTGGATTTTTGCATGACACCTTTACATTTTATAACAAGTAACAAGTAGGAGCCTCGATGATGGTATTTGTGTGAACTGTGATACTTCCTGTGCCTTGCATGTTAAATAGCATATCACAACCAGTGCGAAGCTACAGCAAATTAGAGGGGGTGCTCTTGCCTTGAGGGTGCATATACATGTATGGTGAAAAGCTAGATAACATCATTGTTTTAACATTTTTAGGAGGTACATTTGCGCCCCTAATCTCAATGTAGCTTGCACTGATCACAACTTCATTCTTCTTTTATATCTAATGACAGCAAACTACCTGATGTAGGGAAACAGTTAACATCAATATTTGTGGCCCAGTGAACAATTTCTCTTTTACTTTGATATTTTTGTGATAATTGTTTCATCAGTGTGAATGCCACATGCTCTTTCTGGAGATAAATGATTACTGTCAAGTCAAGTTTATACCAGACGAATTACTTATTATGGAATACTGGAATGGATTCTTAAATACGGGCTATCCTTTTTATTTCACCAGGAGCTTCCTGAGCGGCTTATTCTGACATACAAACCAGCAGCAGCAGCAGCAGAAGAAGAAGAAGAAGAAGTTCGAGAGCATGTTCCTATTGTAGAGGAGAAACGGCAAGTTGTTGAAGAACCTGCTCCAGTGCCTTCTTCCCAAATAGCTTCGCCTCCCAAGCCTAATATTGCAGATACTGGCGATTTACTGGTAAGTATGAAAACGATCATAAAGTGAGTGACATTAATGCTTTTATATTATAATCTAAATGTCATATTTTATCATGGGGGTTAGGTGATTCAACCCCTACTGTGTCGGCAATAGAGGAGAGCAGCGCTTTGGCCTTGGCGATTCTTCCTACAGGTAATTAATCAAATAGTTGTTATAATTATATCATGCAGTTCTATTAAGTGTATGCATGCATGCTGTAGGTGTCGATAATTCAACAGCAACTACACAGCAAAATAGAGGATTTGATCCAACAGGATGGGAACTTGCTCTTGTTACTACGAGCAGCAACATGACTCCACTGTCTATGGAGAGTAATTTGGTTCGTTTCTTAATCTTTCATTGAGAATATCTACCTTTCAGTTGGTTGCCACAGTTCAGTTTTTCCAATCAAAGATTTTAGAGATGTTGTGCTGCTATTTACTCTGTTCCTTGCAACTTTGTTAAGCTCCTGTAGTTCTACTGTCAAGCAGTATCCACAAAATCACAGTGTCAGACTGGCTCTAAATAAATTTTACCTAATTGCTAAATTTACTGATCTGTTGTGGTCACCGACCGGGAATATGGCGTGGCCCTATAGGGTGAGGCTAAGATTCATGGATTTCCTTGGCCGGTTTGGCCAAGGTTTATTCTTACTGCAAAAGCCATGGGACTGTCGTTCCCCACCTTGCAAGTTTCTTAAGTATCGTACTTAAACAAAAGTTACTCTGTGGACTTAATAAACAAGTTTTTCGGTCTTCTGTATAACTTGGATGGCTTGTTGGTGCCAGGTATTTAGCTAAAATACTTAAGAGAGATCAAATTTGGCATTGGATCATATGCATGGGATGTCTGCTTCATATGCAAGAAGAAGCGTCGGCCACTGCAGGCCTGGCAAGTCCTAATACAATGGCCTAAAGAAGAGTCATGATACCTCGATTATCTTCTCCGGTCATTATTGTTATAGTCGCAGACACATCATTGGTGATCTGTTTACCCTGCTATTGCTTCTGTGTGCTGTCATATGCTCTGCTCAAAATGTTCTTGAAGGTATTTGTTAGATTCTATGCTTTGCACTTGTATGCTATGATTTAAGTCCCCTAATATATACTGGTTGCAGAATGAACAAAATATTTTTCTTGTAGTCTTATTAGAGGGTGGAGGTATGCATAGTGCACGGTAGTTTAGGGTACCTGAGGCGTTACACTATGTTGCCAGTTGTCTTTCAGATTGTTGATGTCACATTTCCATCCATCACAGCTTTGATTCTCTTTGGAGCGTCAGTGCGTGAGTGAAAATGTAATTAGCAAGTTATGCATAAATGTTGCAATTAGCAAGTTAGTTAAACCACCAGTGTATACCAAATAATCATTTCTTAATTGTTTTTGTTGGACTGCAGGTTTCAGGGTCAACCGGGCAAGTGATATATGGGCAGTGGCTCACTGGCAGTAGCTCAAATTATAATTACTTTTTTTTAACTAAAAGTATTGAGCTTTTGAGGAATAAGGCTTGAAGGGGTGTTGTAGGAGAAACCAACGAACATGTAATTGTATCATGAACTTGCTTCTGTTAATTTGAGCACACTTTACCAAGCGATTCATTTTTGCCGGACGAGACTCTTTACTTTTTGGTAGATTAATTTTTTATGGTATATCAATTAATTATTTTTCTAATAGTGCTATCAATTAATTATTGGACCACCGACAGACTTAGATCATTTTTCTTGATATTGTCAAGATTATTTTGGCGTTATCATTGGCATGGAGATTTCTTACTGTCGATATAAAACATTATCTTAGCCATATCACGGAAAAGGTCTAAATATTATCTTATCGTACGATCTGTGTGTTTTTAATACAATAATTTAGCTGTCCCGTAGCAACGTATGGGCCTGAACCTAGTAATACAAAAGACAATTGCTAGATAAGCTACAACAGTGCATTGAATTGTACTCCGTAGTTGTAGTAGCTTCAAACCAGTGTTAACAAACACAGGCTCGGGACTTTTTTTGATCGGGTACAACGCACGCTCGGAGCTTTATTAACTAGCAGTAGCTTCATTCTTGCTCTGCATAGCTACATTCCACTCGAATTCTTTTTATTCGTTTCAACTAACTATCTTTGGAAAAGCAGGGTATTGCTGCAATGTATCCCACCTCCATTTGCCGTTCCTCGCCGTTACTCTGCCTGCCATTCGAACAGCAAAGCTGGCAGTGGCAGAGGACCAAGGTGAGGTCTCTCTACCTCACTTTCGTGATGTCAACTACGCCATACTACAACAGTTTTTGCTTGAGCTGCGGGGTGACAAGGGGACTCACGGCCGCAGGTCAGCAGCCTCCACCGGTCCACCCTGTCCAGCCCCGGTTTCCGGTTGCCGGCGGCGCATCAACCTCAAGCATCGGCTCAATATATGCGCCTGGCCCAATAAAAATCCTAAATATTTATCAAATAAATCTCAAAGGTCCGTTTACGTGTGTATAAACTGTATATAGGGGAGTGAAGATAATTTAATCCTGCTTTGCTCGTGGAAGTGGAAGTTGCAGTACTTAAGGTTCTGTTTGTTTAGGATTCCTAGGAGGTTTTGGACCTCAGCTATCAAAAGCCAAACAATTCATATCCTAGGCTTTGTTTAGATTGGGGTTAGGAATTAGTATTTGGCACTGTAGCACTTTCGTTTGTATTTGACAATTATTGTTCAATCATGGCCTAACTAGGCTCAAAAGATTCGTCTCGTAATTTACAATCAAACTGTGTAATTAGTTATTTTTTTTATCTATATTTAATACTCCATGCATGTGTCCAAAGATTTGATGTGATAAAGAGAGAGTGAAAAAACTTGCAATCTAAATAAGGCCCTAGAAGCTAAAAGCTAGAAGCTTTGCTTTTTTTGAAAAGTCCAAAATCTAGTAATCCAAAAGCTCAAACAAATAAGCCTAAATATGAAGGCCATGACACTTACGTGAATGGTTTGTTGAAATCCGATCCGTGGCTTTGAGGGAGTGCAGCCTCCTTTTGTAGTTTTAGTTTTCCAAAATAGTTTAGGTTGTGATCGTGATATGAGAACGTGCTAGACTATCCTATATAAACAACCTAGCGACCAACGCCAGAACATATCTATTCAAGTTAGGGTTTTGTCTCTTTCCATTGCTGCATCGCCATCATAACTTCTCCACCTCTAGTGCCTACATGCATCGGCGACCAGGAGAGCAAGTCTCTAGAACCCTCATCCTTGTGATCCTGCACCAAGAGAGGACAAATAAGGTTTTTGAAAAATACTTTCACGCGACTCCTCCCAGCCTCTTCCTCAACAACTCGTCTAAGGGTGCATTGACACACCTTGATCTGATCTATTATTATTATTTAAGCATGCCTATTGGTTCAATCATGTTGCTGCTTGTGGTGATTCGATCTATTATTTCAGAGCACGTCTACTGGTTCAATCATGCTGTTGCTTGCGGTGATGATGTTTATGTTGTATGGTCAACTATTATGTTAGGGTTATACATGCTAGCATCTAAGATCGTCCTGATTTATATTCTGAAGATTAATCATGAAATTGCCTACTTACTCAAGAATTCAAAAACCTTATTGTAGGCCTTTTCCTAAACTATGATTGGTTTTGCTAATGCACCGAGACCAGAAAAATTTATCAGTGTGGACTTTAAGAGGTGGCAAGTCAAGGCCATGCTCTAGTTGCAGTCATGAAAGTATTCTGGTTTTGTGCTAGTTGGTCTGAAGGAAATATCTCCGATGAAGATCAGAGAAAATTCTAGGATACCAACACTATCTTTATGGAATACGTTCTTGGCGTTCTTGCTGTCCATCTTGTAGACGTGTACATGCACATAAAAGATGGGAAGAAGTTGTGGGATGAACTGCAAAATTCGGTGCATCAGATGAAGCCATGCAGGCAATGAGCTGTACATCATGGTGAGGTTTCATGACTATAAGATGGTGGGTAACCAATTTGTAGTCGAGCAAGCTGATGAGATACAATGCAACACAAAGGAACTTGAACTTCTTAAGTGTGTCGTACCTAACAACTTTGTGGTTGGGTGCATTATTGCAAAGTTGTCTGCTTCATGGAGGGGCTTCGCCCAACTCTCAAACACAAGAGGACAGAAATAAATATCAGTTGAAAACCTAATAACATCTCTTGATATTGAGGAGAAGGCTTGAGCTAATGATACTACTAATAAGGGGCCCAAGGGACATTCTAGCGCCAACATGGTGCAAACAAACCAACATGGCAAGAACAAATGAAAGAATAAGTCTTTTGGTGCCAAAACAACAACTACCTTCAAGAAGAAGAAGAATGAATGAATAGTTGCATTGATTCACTTGTGAAGAGCTGCGCCACTTTCCCAAGGAGTTCTCGGATTTAGCGAACCACAAAGCAACAGAGAATAAGACTATCAACATCGTGAACGCTAGCAATGTTGATGATGGGTACTACTGTACTTTTAGTGTTTTAATCTCCATGTTGGTGGATTGATACGAGTGCTAATGTTCATGTGTGCGCTAATATCTCTATGTTCTCTTGTTACCAGGGCACCCAAGGTTCTTCCATCCCAACGGGAAATGGGTCACATGCTTATGTTTGTGGTTTGGCACTAGATTTGAACTTTACTTCGGTAAAGATTGTGCAACATGTCCCTACTATGAACAAGAACCTCATTAGTGGCTCTCTTCTATGAAGAAGTGGGTTTAAGCTACTACCATTAGATTTATCTCATCTGCCTAAGCTTGTGCAAGTAAGTTATGTAATGTCCCTTTCTTCTTTATGCAATCAAAAAAATTTATGATAAAAGACATGAAAATTACCCTTTCTCTCGCTTCTTCAAGATATACTTCAGCAATCGTTCTATAATGAACATATTACTAGACATGTAGATAACCAAAGACTCAACAATCCTTTCTCACATGCAGAAAGAGTATTTCCTAGGCTTTGTTGCAAGAAAAACATGTGTTAGGATTCAACTAGGTTAAATTTTTAGCTTTAACATATGTTGGGAGGAAAATTGCTAAGTGTTTGCTAAAGTATATATTGAAGGTTCATATCAGTGGCCATTGCTGGAATTGGGATTGGAACATATGGGTCAAGGGGATGGTTCAGCATTGTCAACAACAAGACACCGATATCTATAAGTAAAGATGGTATTGCTACTGTTCTTTAGAAATCCATTGTGCTCTTGCACCCATACTACAAGATACAAGGCATCAGTGCTCCACTCTATTTCGATGAGTTCCATTTTGATGCCATGGCTGTTCTTGAACTTAGTTCCAAAAAAATTGAGCTTTTCCTGAAGTTTCTGGCAGGCTATATGGCCTTTTGGCCACCGCTACCTAGATCAATTCTATTGAAAATCTATTTAAATTGTGTAGTGACATACGCAAAGAAAATGGAGACTATGGTTATAAACCACTGCTCATCATAGATTGCCTAGGGTGGATAGCAATACATTCATCCAAGGTGATCATGAGGTGTTCTTCTACAATTTTATGGTTCCTAAGACATACCATGATAACTATTGGGATCTACTTAGATTTCTTAGAAACTCAACTATTGGGATCTACTCACATTTCTTAGAAACTTTAGTAACCATGCATTGAACTACACTAAGGTCTTTGTACTATATTTATTCTGCTTTCTCAGTTCAAACATGAATATATAGTTTCTACATAAAACACACTAATCCTATACTATTTTATATGAAGATTAATGAAGTTCAGGTAATTCAAGACATTGATGTACTTGATATGATGATGGCATATGATCTTAGCTCTATTATTACAAACTTACTCCAACACCTCCTATATGTATTTGAAAAGCCAAAATGATGTGTATTAATATGTCTGTCTAATCTATATATTATGTTGCACTTTTGTACACTGTTCTGACACAAATCTTTTTTCTTCATAGCATTTTAGCATTTGGTTGCATAAAACATCACAGTGAGTTTTGCATTTGAACTTTCTTTTTTTTGTGTTATTAAATGGAATTAACCTTTTGCCACTCGCATGTCACACTACTGAATCTCTTTAAGTGGATGTTGGTCGTGGATTGAACAGGTGAGAGAAGGATGGAGAGAATGAGTGAGTGAGCAAATAAGTGATGGACCAAAAGGTTCTCCCCACCTTCTCTGCCCCCTACCCTTTTATATGGGAGGTGAGAGGGAAGATGTTCATTCTTTCTCCTACTAGAGCTTATATTTACAAAAGAGTCCCTACAAGTCATAAATGGGCCCTAAACATTCCCAAACAAAGCCTCCATGCTTTGTATTGGGACCTAAACACTCTAATGGGGGTCTATAACATATGCCTTGCCCCAATAGAAGCCCTTTAGCTATTCAACTTTGGTTGTAAGTACAAGACCCAATATCTGAAGAAAACTAAATGTGGCATAATTACAACTTAGACTCGGCTGTGAGGATCACCATTTGCAACCCATAT